ATTACTAAAGAAAGTAGTATAAATGTGATTCGTCAAACGTTCGATGTTAGCATTTCTTCTTTTTCTTCTTCTTCTTCATCTTCATCTTCTTTATCTTCATATTTGTTTATCGCACAAAGATCATTGCAATAAATATCATAGTCCAACACTCGAATCTGTTAATCATTGGTTGTATATGTAACTGTTCATTGATCGAGAAAGAGATTTTCTGCGAGTATGTTAATTTACAGTACATTATTCTCTTTATCTCTCTCTTTGTTCGAGTTTACACATAGAAGGAAACAATTGTTAATGTGAGCGTGTTCTTGTTTAATTTAAATTATTCGTTTAACGACTCACAAGCTTTGAAATGTTATCTCATTTCCTTATTTACTCGTTAATATTTTTATTTTATTTTGTTTTCAATTTTATTTATACAACGTTGTGACGTGTGTAAATGCGTGAGATACCTTTCGTTTATTTATGTATTATAATTATTATTATTATTATTAATTATTAATTGTTATTTGTTATTATTATTATTATTATTATTATTAATATTATTATTATTATTATTATTATTATTATTAGTTTTTATCTCTTCTTGGTATTTTTTCTTTTTTTCGTTTAAACGCAGATAGAGTTTTAATCCTAAAAGTATGTATCTCGGAATACGATTTCTTTGGTTTCGGTTTAGTTTGTTTGTTTGACTTTGCTTGTGTATGTATGTATGTATGTATGTATGAGTGTATGATTTCATTTGATAATATAAACACAACTATACAATTCACGTGTAACTAATTCACATACATTTTCTTTCACGCAGGCCAGGTACGAGGAACGATTATAAGCTTGTCAAATTCGTTTCGGTTCATATGCGTTCACGATACTTCAATACATTTAATTGAAAAGCCAATTTATGATGGATTCATATCCACATATGTCAGTTCAATTTTCCCACGATGAAATAATAAAATAAATATAAATAGAAAAGAAAGAAATGTTAACATTTAAAAAGCAGATATTCCAATTTCTTAAAATTAATTTTATATGAAAAAATTTAACCCACGTACGCTCGTATCAGCTGTCATAATATTTTTATGATTGTGAAATAAAGAAAAAGTAGTTTTTTTCTATAAATTATGTCCATCATACATGGGAAAATATTTTCCAATTATTGAAAATTCACTTTCCTACAGAATTAGCGCGCGCACACACACACACACACACACACACACACACACAAACACGCATACACATATTCTATAAACTCGTATTAATTCTGGTAAACTCACCAGAGAATTATTCTCATCGAACACATATCAAATCCCGATCAATAATTCAATAAATATGAAACGTGTAAATTCGTATAATACTTATATACACATAGTTTATCTATTTTAATTAAGTTAGATAAATTTGATCCGTTCACATCTAATTTTTTTCTCTTTTTTTTTTTTATTTTTGTTTTACCCGTTTCGTAGAATGACAACCTGCCCCATGAGAATAAATATTAGAATATTTATTACAAAGATATGAGAGTGTATGTTAACGTATGACGTAATACACACATATACTCGTTATGTGCATGTGTGAAAAGGAGAGAGAGAGATAGAGAGAGAGAGATAGATAAAGATCATATTATTTTTACTCTCTCTATTTCCCTCTTTCTTTTTCATTTTTAAAATGCATTTTTTCTTCTACTTTTTCTTCTCTTGCTCCTCCCCTTCTTCTTTTCTTCTTTTTTTTTTTTTTAAATATTTTTATTTTCCCAGATACTCCATTATTCCGTTGTACTGGTGGTTCTTAAGTCTCTTCCTCTCTCTTTCTAGTTTTCTTTTTCTTTCTTACAAACATGAAGAGCAACGATAATTACCAGCATTCCTCTGGTTTTCTATCGCAAAAAGGTAAGGCATAGTGCACTGAAAATAAAAATAAGTGAGAGAAAGAGAGAAAGAGAGAGAGAGAGTGAGAGAGAGAGAGAGAGAGAGAGAGAGCACAGACGGTTCTATAAATGAAAAATTTTTCCAATTACTACCAAGGAATCGCAGAAGCTTGTTTCTACGTGAAATTATCGACATTCGTGAAGTAAAAAACAGCTCTCGTGCTATTCTTTATAGCTTTTCTTTCCCTTTCTTCCTTCTTTCCTACCTTCTTTACTCTCTTGGAAAAGGAATGTGACTGCTATCGTTGAGAGAGAAAGAGAGATTCCGATACAAGCGATGTACGGAAACCTTAAGCGAAGAATTTTCTTCGAGATCGCGTTTTACAAGGAAAATTGATTATTTTTTGTTGTTGTCTCGAATATTATATACCTTGCTTTAAATATTTCTTTTTCAGAGACACAATATATAGTCATTATCGTTAATAATTATTAACGTATATTTTCTTATATAGAAAATAATCTTAAGAGAAATGATAATTATGTTTTATTCAATAATAATATAGATAAAAAATCAACATCGAGATAATAGATACAAGATAGAGGAACAATTTAACACGATTGGTAGGTTCTATAGATAAGAGGTGGTAGACGGAGGGACAGTTGATAAGGATGACATAAGGGGAGGTGAAGAGACAATGCTGATAAGGAGGATCAAGCGTTTCCAAATAGGATTCTAGATTGTATAGGTTAATCGATGCCTTCAATCGGTATTCTCGGATATATCTAATCCGTATTAAACAATCAAACACCTGTAAGATGATACCTCTAATATAAAGTTGAAATAAATTAAATATTATCAATAATTTTTTCGATCTAATCGATAAGAAAGAAAAAAATTACATGGACGTTTAATTATTTAAAAAAAAAAAAAGTAAAAATAAAATATTTTCACATACGACATATAAAATAACAATATTTTAATATGATAATAACAAATTATTATCGTCAACAATTTTAAATTTAATCTTATCACGTGGAAGAAATTAAATAAAATCAAATATACGAATATAACAAAATTGTTAAATGCATGTAATCTAAAGAAATCGTACAAAACTATAGAAAATATTTACACAATCGTAAAAAAAGTACACGTGTATTGTAAACGAATTAGTTAAATCTGACATGGTGGTAGTCATTAAAATACATTTTCCTCAGAAAATACGTCAATCGAGTGATTCGTGATTGTCCGCATTAAATAAATTATTAAGTTAGGAAACTTGTGCGGGGTGAGATGAGAAAAGGGACGTAGTCGGTAAAGTCGGTCATATTTAAATAATTCCGAGGATCTAGAAATGCTTTGAGGAAGGATCTTGTCTTTGCAGGAGTATGTAGGTCTATATGTAGATATATATTACATATACATATACATACACTTATGATAGTACGGACGACAACAGCAGATTCTATTATCGGTGCTATTATTGACGTTTGCTCGTCTCGTTATCCTCGTACCTGTGGATCAATTGTATTTTACACTTTCACACATTCTTTATTTTTTTTTTTTCCTTTTTTTTCTTTTTTTCTGTTACAAAGACAAAATCTTTCTTCGAGAATATAATTAATAATATAATGAAAACGCGCGAAGACGTAATTTTTTTTTTTTTTTTCTTTTTTTTTTTTTTCTTTTACATACAATCTCGATCGATCCGATTATTATAACTAAAATCACTATCTACCGCCTTTCGTCGAGTTCGCTTATTATATATATATATTGTTTTGTTTCTTTTTTATCATTATCTTTATCTTTTCTTTTCTTTTCTTTTTTTTGTTTGTTTCATTAAATATCATTAATATTTAAATAGAATAACAAGAAGGAACGCCCATATTATGTACATATAAAAATATAACATCTTATCGCGATCGATATCGTGTGCTCGTAGGAGTGTCCTTTGCTGCTCTTTCTATTTTTTTTATTTTTTTCTATCCTTTTCTGTTTGTCCTGCAATCCTTCCGTCTGTCGTACGATTAATCCTGCACATGTATGCGTATGTATTATATCGTATGTATTTTACTTGACCTATATATTATGCCTATCATTATTTATTTATATAGATAAAACTTTTTTTTTTTTTTCATTCATTTTATTATAATTTTATTCCTCTTAAACACACACGTAACATACTTCATGATTCTTGATACGTTTTCGCACATCACATGTTTTTTCTCCCTTAGATAAGTTTGCCTTATATGTTTTTATCCGTCTTTTCTTCAATATACAAAAGAAATATAAAAAGGATTTCATTTCAAAAACAGAAGTAGAGAGAGAGAGAAAGAGAGAGAGAGAGAGAGAGAGAGAGAGAGAGAGAGAGAGAGAGAGAGTAATATAGAAAATTCAACGACGTAGAAAATCGTAAGAGTTTCGATTTGATGGGAGTTGCTGATACTAGTAATAGTAATAGTAGTAGTAGTAGTAGTAGTAGTCATAATAATAATAATAATAATAATAGAGCTCATCGAAATATTCAAGTTGAAACAGGGTCGATAGGGATGCCATTTTTCAATATGTACCTCGGATATTTGATCGTTGTGTGGTACGGTTTGAATAACTGATTTTCCGATCCTTGACAAGGAATAAAAATGCAAGGGCAAAGCAGGAAGGAGGTTAAATCTATTTCTGGCACATTCGATATAGGATTGGTCTCATCTCTTCTCTTTTTTATTATATTATCATGCTTGTTTCATTTTTTCCCTTCTTTCTCTCTCTCTCTCTCTCTCTCTCTCTCTCACTCTCTCTCTTTCTCTGTCTTTCTTTCTTTCTTACTTTGATTTTATTAAACATCATGTAAATACCACATAATTAAAATGTTCCTCTCTGTCTTGTGTTTCTAATTTTTCTTGTATTATTTCACAATTCATTCTCTCTTTCCCCATCGACATTTTCATTTAATATATATATATCTTTAAAAATTTATAATATGAAATTTAATTTTTTTTCTTTTTTTTTTGTTTTTTTTGTTTAACGAGCTACGAAAAAAG